AAGCCGCTTCTGTGTGGGAGACGCTTATATTACACGCAACATCTTTCAATGATTATCTTTTTGGATGTTTTAAAAATTAAATTCGGTTAAATTAAATAATAATAATAATAATAATAATTCTTTATTTCAGATATCAAAGATCCATAAGTAGTTAGTGTGACTTATATTAGGTTAGTAATTGAGAACATTAAATAAATTTAATTAAATTAAATCAAAACTAAGATCAAATCTATACCCAAAATTAAATTACAATAAAATCAAAAATAAAAATAAAATTTAATTCAATTTAAATCAATTCAATATAACTTAATTCGATTCTTTAATATATTAATTACTTGAATAAAATTAATCTATAGTTTAATTCATGTATCTGCCACCCTCTGGGGCACCGGGCACATGCATTTGTAACCAGTGCCACAGAAGGGGGCTGTCAGGCTTATCGCTGAGCACGTTCAGGATGGTGTTGGCGCTCCCCCGCGTACGGAGCATCAGTGAGGCGATGCGACGTCGCAGCACGGCGTGGAAGCCGTCCGTGTGCGCGTGGGCAAACATCGCAGACGCACTACAGCAGCGCGGGAGCGCCACCAGCACCCTGAATGCGTTATTATATTGTATTCGGAGAGCGTTGATGGCCCGCTGCGTGTAGTTGACCCACAGATTGCAAGTGTATAGAGTTTGGCAAAAGGCTTTAAAGAGAGTTATCTTTACTCCAAAGCTACACCGCGCGAATCTGCGTGCCAGCATATTACAGCGGACCGCCATCGCCCTCCTTTCCCTTTCGATGTCAGCATCGTCTTTTAAATCCTCGGTAACCACATGGCCAAGATATTTAAACGCATTTACCCTGCCTAGAGCGACGCCATTTAGCAGCACACGTGGCACATCTCCCAGCTTACGACGCCTAGCTTGAAAGATCAAGAGCTCGCTCTTTTTAACATTGTACAGGAGTCCGTGTGACAAAGCGTACCTCTCACATACACCTATTAGTTTTCTGAGACCTGCGATTGATGGGCTTAGCAATACCATGTCATCTGCATAACTGATACTGTTGATGCAGTGACCATCAATCGAGCAGCCGACCCTTGTGTCGCTCAGCTCAACAATCAACCTATTCACATACAAGTTGAAGAGAGAAGGAGAAGTTAGCCCTCCCTGTCTCACTCCACACTCCAACCTGTACTCGTCAGAAAGCTCACCGAGCCATCTAACCCGGTTAGTTTGGTGTTCATACCAATATTTAAAAATATTGATCAACCCACCCGGCATACCTGTGTCTTTTAATTTACGCCAAAGAATATCATATCTAACCAGGTCAAATGCCTTAGTGAGATCAAGAAAGGCTGCATACACAGGCGTGTTCCTATCCGTGTAGTACCTAACAGTCTGTTTGAGAGACATAATTGCGCATTCAGTCGAAAGTCTTGGTCTGAAGCCGAACTGAGCGTCATGTAGGTGGAGATGCTCTTTAAGTTGTCTCTCAAGCAGGCCATCAAGCACCTTAGATGTCGTTGTAGCTAATGATATCAGACGGTAGTTGCACTTGTCGGAAGTATCACCAGTTTTATTTTTTATAATAGGCACTATCACCGTCTTCATTAGCTCATTTGGCAGATAGGAATGCCTAATGCATAGCGTGAACAGCAGCCCTAAGAGTCTCGGTAGGTGTGGCCCCGCATTGTGAAAATGTTCAATGCTAAGGCCGTCGTGTCCAGGAGACTTCCCTCGCGTCATTCCTTTTATCATTAGAGCAACTTGCTTAGCTGTGACGCGGTCCGGCACCTCCGACACCTCGACCTCCTCATCCACTACCTGCGTACTTTTTAGCGGAGACTCCACTTGAAAGTGACATCTGAACATGTTCGCTATATCCCGTGGTTCACTGATGCCGTTAACACTCACAGGGACGCTAGGCTTTGGACTTAGTTGTTTTGTTTGTTGCCAAAATCCCCTAAAATCTTTATTCCTGTGTTTTGAAGCTAAAATATTCATTTTTATTTGCTCCTGATTATTCTGACAATACTTTAATTTGCTTTTGAAAATTTTTCTCGAATCATACATTTCATTAAAAATGGTACCACTACTAGGCCGACCATCACATACCCAGGTTAGATACTTTTGCCTAGCGTTCCTGTGAGCGTCACGAACATACTTGTTCCAACCTACAATAGAACGACCGCAATGTGGTTTGCCACCTCCCAAACGACCAACATAGCTGACCACAGCAGCCTCCTGTAACGCTGTTACAATATCACTGTAAAGCGAGTCTATCGCGGCCAGGTGTGCCGCGTCACTATTACTACACAAACAATCGCCACACTGATCGAACTCATGTGGAAAGCCAACCTTTCGCAGTTTATCATTACAATATTTAGTAAACATTTCTATTTGGCTTAGGTCTCTTTCTCCCCATAGAACCTTATTTACTTTAGCACGCGGCAGCTCAATAGTCTCACAAACGGTTTTTATGTTGCATTGAATTTCTAGCGGGTAGTGATCAGACCAGTAGACACCATAATGTACTTTTACCGTTAGCACCTTGCTTAGTGCAGCTTCAGTAACAACACAGTGATCAAGCCATCTATGGCTTCCGTGCGCTTCACTAACAAAAGTGTATGCATTGGAATCTATACCTAACATTTGAATATCCACACATGTCCAATTTTGTTCACTACAGAAGTCTAGAAGTTCATTGCCAAACAATCCCCCGGGGTGAGCGTTAAAATCTCCTAAAATATATACGGTTTCGATATTGCAACTTTCAACTATAGATGCAATTTCACTTAAACATTGAACATATTCTAAGAGATTGTCAGATGAGTCTGTAGGCATATAAACAGTGAAAATAAGTATTAGCCGTTCCAACACACACGCCTTAATCGCACTAATTCGATTACTTTCACATGGAATCACAGAAACACACTTAAACTTACTGTTTCTCCATAACAGTGCTACGCCACCGTACGGTCGCCCACACAGTATTCCACTAGATATGTCCACAGCTGATTTACCGCAAAAACCAAAGTCGTTGCTTATTTTACCAAGTTCCGGTATCTCGTGAGGTAGGAGCCAAGTTTCTTGCAGCGCAATAATATCGGCACTTTGACCAAGCACTTTTACTGCGTCAATGGACCTTTTGAAAGACTTACAATTAAAGCTAATTAATTTTAAATTAATATTGTTAGTCGTGCTATCCATTTAAGTTCATTATTTTTGCGCCAGTATCAGAATTCTCTTGTCTGTTTGAATGTCTCTTGCTAAATTCAATAAAACGACGGAATGTTATACCATTGGGCCACAGGTTACAGTCCAAGAACAAACTTAAATTATTATTAGGTACATATATTTTATATGAGTTGTATTCTCTCTGTTGCTTGGATTTGATCTTATGAAGGGTCACTTCCACATTCGTTTTACTTTTTATGTAGGATACTATGTCTTCTTCACATGTTTCTTGGTGCACATTATTTATAAAGATAGGAACACTGGTATTCGCAGCCTTAAAACTACTTTCAATAACGGTGCACGTTCCTTTTCTACCTAAAAATCTGTTTTGACGCTTTTTCCTCTGTACAATTTGCCAATCTTCATCCCGCCTATTCAAAGCGCTTTGCAATTGCGGTGATTGTATCAGCTGATCGTTCTCTGCACCGACACCTGCAGAGGTATTAGTCACAGCAGTAGCTGAGGTGCCATGGATTTGTACCGCGGTTTCGACAGCCGAAACCGCAGTGGGCTCCTCCACGCGCATGCTGGCCGGGCTCGGTGCAACAGATAAATTGCCTGCAGATATCAAATGCGACAGAGACAGTGAGTGTTGCTCAGTTCGTCCTCCTGCCGCTTTGTCAGTAACGGTCGGATTGTTATTTTTGTTGTTTACCGTCTCTTGAGTAAAGTGTAAAAATTCTGTAGGGCCACTATCACAGTTATATTCGGAGCCATTCAGTATGCAGTTTGTACCTCGCTTTGTATTAAAAAAGTTATCCTGCTGGAGATTGTTGACTATCGGTGTTTGTTGTAGGTTGATGATTTCATTTTTTAATTTTGAAAACTGGTCTATAGGTGTATACGTATCCCTGATAGTTTCAACTTCATGTCTGAGGATAATAATGTCCTTCAGCAATCTTGTCACGTCTATATGGTCAAAAGTGACCGGAGGTAGTTTTTGTAGGTCGCGAGCGACAAAAATTGGCAATTCTTCAGGGTCTTTCTGTTTTATCAGAGCTATTATGTCCTCTAGGTCTCGTTGGGTTTTACCTTCCCTTTTGCGCTTAATCTGTCTTCCCGAAGTCTTAACTGATGTAAACAGAAGATTTTTAGCTGCACTAATGTCTTCTGGTTTAAATGCTGTAATACTTAGTCTGATCATTGAATCTTCGTCCATCACATCACACTTGTTCTGTATAAACGCCAGAACCTCGTTTATAACTAAATTACAATTCGCGCACTTTAACATTTTAGAGGTCGTTGGACCCTCCATTGCAACTGTAACGGTGGATTCAATATATGCGATAAATAAATAATATTTTTCGGAAAAAATTTAGCAAAAATAAACGTGTGACATATATGACATGACAGTTACGATATTAATTATAATGATATTTGTTCAACAGTTAGGTGATATGATATCGTAAATCAAAACACAACTGAGTTTCTCGGTAATAAAAGAAACGACATTTAATGTTAATTAAAGAAATGCTAGACAAGTATATTGATTCAATGTATAGAGAACTGTGGGTTCCCTCTATGGGTACATATTTATGTAAGTACTCTAGGGTTAAACATTATAAAAAAAAAACAATGACAATCTGCTGTGTCAATCAATGTCATCATTGTCAAATTTTATCGTAATTTATTTTGCGTGAATCATCCCATTGAAAGTTACTAAGATTTACAAGCTAGTGTTATTTAGCTTTCTTATTGTTAATTTAAAATAACCTTAAGGCTAACGCCTGCAAATTTCTACTTTAATCGTCTTATAAACCGTCAAACTGGGGAACGAAATGTCTTCTTCTGCAATGGAAAGTATCCTTTACAAGTGTTCCTAGGTAGTAATGATTATTTTTTCATTGCTTATGAAAACCTAAAACATATTATCAGTAAATGAAGGTTTTTACTAAACATCAACAACAAAGTAAACAAACTTCAAATCCTGAGCATTCTAAGCACACAGTGGCATTCATGAGTCAAATTATCATGCATAAAGAAATGTATTGTTGTATTATTCAATCCTGCAAATATTTTCTTTATCAATATTTTTACTTATTTACATTGTGTTTTCATTTCTTTTATTAAATATATTCTTTTCATTATGTCCTATTAAATTAAAAGTATATTTTAAGTTATATTCCATATGTAAATATTTTTATTCTTTTAATTAAAATCTAAAATAATATCATAAATAATAATCGAAAACTTTACCGATTAGGTAATCGAGTATGTAATATTTCATAAAAATCATAGTGATAATTGTAACTTGACAACCGCACATCTCACAAGACTATTTGTTTTTTTTTTAAAGAATTTCAACTTCGTTCGCTAAAATTAGGTTTAAATTTGTACACGCAAGTACAAATGCACTCCTCATGAGAAAGCGGGATTCAAATAAATGAATAACATGACACCTAAATAAGTGTAATGAGACTATTTCTTAACCCTGCAGTTGACGCGCCTTATAAAAACAAGTAAGTGGTCACATGGATTTCATAAGGAGTTTAACGTCCCGATGTCAAAGTTAGCCTGGCGACCTTCAGTTTTTTAATATTAATTTTTGTTCTGATCTACGCAGAATGAGCTTACAGTATTTTTAAGTCCTGCAGTGGTATGCTTGTGTTTGGATTTAATTTTATTAATTATAGGATCCCAAGCAGATGGCAGCACCCATCCATCTATTGAAATTAGGATGTTATTTAATTTCAATTGCCTCACGAATCATTCTCGGCAGGAATCGGTGTTCTTTTGCAAGGATTTGTGGTCTATCAAATCTAATGTAATGGCGGGGACGATCTTGAACATGTTCATACACTGCAGACTTCCCAGAACGTCGGTGCTTCAAGTCAGCTATATTGCACCTTCGTTTTGAAATCATTACTAAACAAAAAAACTAAATTTTGCAGGAGAGCTAATTTACGAGTTTTGCATTACTATTTACCTCTTAATAAGGAGTAATGAACACATTATGAGATATTTTTGAGATTATTTGTTAAATTATTGATTTCTTTTTAAGATGTGTAGTCATTTTAATTTAATATATTCTATAATTAATTTTTATAATCATTTTAATTTTTATAGTAACACTTGCATTAATTATTTTTTCAATTAAGGTTCGATTATGTTAAGTTAGTATAAAAACAATGTTACTATATTAAAAATCGAAATCTAGCTGTTACATGAACGGTTAAAATATATTTCAAAGGTATTTTATGCACAGGTCAATTAAAACATAATAATTCAAATCAATATTTATTCAAAAAAACTTACTTTTATGGCAATTAAACCAAAAATCTTATTCCCCAAACATTAATATCTTACAATAACAAATCAATGTTTCTTTTGCATTTACGTGTGCAAGGGGCGCACACTTGGCTGCTGAATTGGACCAACTTCTTGCAAACTGTATTATTATTATTGTAAAAGAAACAAATTTGAAAACGTGCAGGCGCTCGCTTATTGGATTTGATGTTTTGCGATGTGCCTTCGACGGGGACCGACCTATCATATTTTTCTTATATTAAATATATATATTTAGTCATATTATTATAGCGTCTAATGGACCTAGTGACGTCATCCAAGATGCTACCAATGTGACTGCTGTTTGAATTGATTCTTAGTTATTGGAAATTAAATATTTTATTTTATGACATTTCATTCATGACGTTAGTCATGACTTAAAAAAGTTTGTATGACTATTTTGGTGTGAAGGGAGTTATAATAAATAGATTTATACACAAAAAAAAAACATGCATATTCCCTATTATTATATTGTAAAGCATTACAAACTTAGTAACCTTCAACATTATTGACACTTTGATATCGAAACGGTGACATTCTTAAAACGGGTTTTCTATTTTACCTTACATTTATTAGCTTCACCTACTGGGGAATAACTGAAATGTTTTCTTTATAACTATTCAGCGTAGTTTTGATATGCTTAGCTAGAGGGCGTCACACGCGCGAGCTCAAAGTTTTTGTATGCAATTGTTCCTTATGTCCGCTCTATAGTATACCTATATATTTAAATCTCTTTGGTATTTAGGAATCACTAACCATTACACAGCGCACGCGGATGAAGCGTTTTTACTTCCGACTTACTTAGCAAAAATCAATATTTAAGGCTAGCTGAGAGGTGTTGCTTGATGCTAGATAGTCGTGATGAGATCGTGAATCTATCTATCATATATAAGAAAAAAATCAAATCGGACTAGTGGTTCCAGAGATTAGCGTGTTTAAACAAATAAAAAACTAAAATTAAGTATCGATTCTATCTCATTCTATCCTATAGATTTATATTATATTTGTCTCTTTTTAGTGTGATTTATTTATTTAATTTATTTAGAAAACCAACAGCGTATATAGTCAAAATTAACATTAATGTAACAATCTAAAAGTATGGCCAATAAGAGGTTTCCCTTATAATGCTTGATCGTATGTGAATTGTTGTTGGAAGAAAAGCAAAGAAGATAATAGATAAATTATAAGCAAAATTATAGCAATTCAATGTAATGAAGGTGGTCATAAGTTTACAGATCAGGAGAGAGAGTCAGGTAGAATGATATTTTACATTACCTTTATATATATATATACATATACACACATACATACTTATGTACATATACATATAAAATGTATAAATATATAAACACAATGCAAATATAGTAGCCTCAAAAAATACATATAGAAAAAATAGATGAGAGAATATATGATTGTATGTGATTTTAACTTCAACTGCTTTATTTGTAATCTTTAAACGTAAGTTTAGATTTCGCAAAGAGGTCAATGTGTCCAAATTGTTCGTTATATGTACGAGCAAGCCGCGAAAGAACAGTGTTTCGACAGTAGTTTGAATGATGCCAGGGAGTCTGTAACAATATAGTATTGCGGGTGCGGAATTTTGGAGTACGAAAGGTGATTCTTGAGACAAGATATGGACAGTCAATATTACTGTTTATTATATTATATAACAAATCCATGTCAAGCAAAACACGCCTGTGTTCCAAAGATGAGATCGTGCTCAGTGCAACTGTCTGTGTAAGTATCGATTTCATTCCGACAGCGAAAGTTAAGGTGATTAACAAATATTTTTTGAATACGCTCAAGGCGGCTTTTGTAGACATTGTACTGTGGAGACCATATCGAACTAGCATATTCCAAAACACTTCTGACATACGCAAAATAAGCCATTTTAATTGCATTCATATTCGAGAATGGTTTACAGATGTGAAGAACAAAACCAAGATTTTTATAGGCTTTACTGATAACGTAATCAATGTGTTCGGATAGTATCATTTTATGATCAAAATTTACGCCTAAATCCCTAACACTTACTTTACGGCTGATTTCTAATCCGTCAAAGTGATATTTATTTAGAATTGGTTTAGATTTCCGTGTAAAACTAATACATTCGCACTTGCTTGAGATGCTAAAGAAGTTTTCATTTCAAAACTGCGGTTGCCAACCAGTTTGCCAAGCGTGAAAACTATGGTAAGTATCCCCCCGAGGCAATCTAAGGGGATGCCTATGTTCCGCAGTGGACTTTAATAGGCTGTAACGGTTACGGTGTAACGATAAAAATAATTTACAATTTATATTGAATAAATAAAAATTTCAATGTGCAGTCAGTCCGCTGTTGAGCAATGTTGCAGCATTGCCTGAGGAAGACACATCCAAGGCTATTTTGTAGTTTGGGATAAACATTTTCCCCGTAGCCTAACCTAACCTCCTTACCTCTGTATATACAGAGTTATTTTGCAATAACCGGCCAAATTAGCAGAGAAGGTTCAGAATAAGTAATATATGATGAAGAAATATTAATAAAAAAAAAAATCTTTAAAAAAGTTACCCTCACACTAGGATTTTCTCCTGTGTCGTGGAGGCAGTTTACAAACATAGATTGCACGAGGGCAAACATCCAGACCAGGAACAATTATTTGTAGGCCATACAAATACTTGTTCCGTGCGGGATCCGAACCCGCGGCCCCCAGCGCAACAATTCATTTCTAAGCCACGGAGCCGTCAAAAAAAAATCTCAAACATTCTGTCCTTTTTATCTTTTAAGTTCAAGATGCGTGGCAATGCATTATTTTAACTGATTGTCTACTATTTTACCACGCACGCACTCACTCGTAAAGGTACCATTCCGTAGCCGACCGCAGACAGCAGCAGAAGGCGACGTGTCGTCGCGGCACTACTGGTTTCTATGTAGTTCTATGAAATATCTTCCGTAGCTAGCGACACGTCTTTTGCCGGAGCGGCAGACGACATGTCGCCCGACCGCAGATCAGTAGTGCCGCCAATGCCCGAGCAGTCAGGTTCGGAATCATGACTGCAGCGACGTGTCGTCGCCTGCTGTTGCTGACTGCGGTCAGCTACGGTATTGTACCTTAAGGGTTGAATTGAATCGCACGCAGAGGAGCGCGCGGGGATGCGTAGTTGTTGCGCCCATAAAGCCATAAACACATTCAATTTGGGAAAATTTCAAATAAAAGTAGAAGCCTTATTTATTCGTAATTTCAAAAACTGCAATAACGGTATATCATTAATATTTGAACTTAAGTTTAAAATTTGGCTACTCTTTGAAAAATAACCCTGTATTGTCAATTTGCCTGCCAAGAGCAAATCCTCCATAAAACAGTGAATGTTTATGTCAACAATACGTAGTATAACTAATGTACTTAACTTCTCATAGCACTTGCCCTTGATATTATAACACATAGATCTATATATAAAATAAAAATGAAATGTCTGTCTGTAATATTGAAACAATTGTATTTTATTAGACTCAGGGGGCTAGTTAGGATGCTATTGGGACAATAATAACCATATTTTTTTCGTCTATCTGTCTGTGGCTAATTTTTGAACTGACTGAACCAATTGTAATAAAACTTCACGAAAAGATAAAATAGTTAAAGGTTTTTTTTTAAAAGTAATATGAGTTAATCTTATCTTTTTTCTTTTTAAATTTCTTAGGTGCCATTTTTGTATATGTATTTTCCATATCCATTGCTATTTATTTTTATCTCTTCCTTTGCAACTCCCATAATTTCCTTCCATATCTACGTTTTTAAATAAATTGTTATTCAATTTCTAGTATCTATTCTTTTACTATTATGTACTTAGCCCTAATACATTTTCCTTTACTCATATACTAATCAGAACATCTATTTAATTTAAAATTTGCGGTCAAAGAGCTAGAAAGAAATTCTAAAAAATGTGAAAAAGAGGAGAAAATGGAGAAGGAGAAAGCAAAGAAGGCAATACAAAAAGGTAACATGGAAGGAGCTCGGATACACGCAGAGAATGCGATACGGCAGAAGAATCAAGCACTGAATTACCTTCGGATGTCTGCTAGAGTAGATGCAGTTTCGAGTAGAGTACAGACTGCACTCACTACAAGAAAGGTAATTTGCAAAAGTTGTTTATCACCATTATTTTTAATAGCACTTAATAGAACATAGACTCGATATTATTTCATATTTACACGGTTTATATTAATTGCCACATGCTACAGTTTGGTGATTGACGTTACGCGTTGTCGCGCGATAATAGGTTGTAGTTGTGTAGGACGAAAGGGTGGGCTCTCGACCAGGGTAGGACCACAGAATACCAGCGTAAAATAGCAACTTAGCTGTGTTTCTTATAGTGAGTGTAGATATCCGGAGACCCCTTTTCACTGGTAATTAAGTATTCCATCTTAGACTTCAGAGGTGACGACGCATCTGTATTTTTAAATGTAGATGTCTACTACTGCATCCATTTACCATTAGGTGAACTGTATGCTATTTTGTCACTCTTATTCCGTAAAAAAATACCGGGTTGTGTAATCAAAGGCTCAAGTTTTTTGGTACAGTTGTTTTGTCGTTTATGTTGGTTGAACAGATCCTGTATCTATTTTAGTTTTAGGGCCTCAGCTCTTACGACACTCACGGGATGATATTGGGTAATGGATATTCTTACACCCCCACTACACTCTCAACTTTTTTTATAAGATTGTAGTAGTACTACACTCTCAACTTTCCAATACACTGATTTAAAAAGGGTGCCTAAGCTAAAAATCAAACTATATTTTTTTTACAGGTCACACACTCGATGGCGGGCGTCGTTAAAGCAATGGACGCGGCGATGAATTCGATGAATCTCGAAAAGATTTCCACATTGATGGACAAATTCGAAAGTCAATTCGAAGATCTAGATGTTCAGTCGTCTTACATGGAGAATGCAATGTCGCAAACGACAACTACCTCCGTGCCACAGGGCGATGTGGAAAAGTTACTGCAGCAAGTCGCAGACGAGGCAGGGTATGTTAGCCGGACACTATTATTTATTTAATTTAACTACAATTTATCTTGTATTATGCCAGTTCTAAAAACTTTTAGTGTTGCCCTCGTATGCAGCTACGCTGCAGCTATATTATTGATGTAGCACAAATGGGTTCGTTCAACCGGGCAAGGACTACATTCTCACAGAATACCTTAGGCCATACAAATACTTGTACGAACCCGCGGCCTCATCTCGCCACAGCCAACACCATCAAATCCTTCCTAAAGCGGGAGTCTTATATCCAGAAGTGAACACATACATATTATATATTTTTACTCTTTCAGATTGGAACTGAATATGGAACTGCCCTCAGGCGTCCCAAGCACATCAATAGGTACAGCCACAGTGGTGTCACAAGAGCAAGACGATCTGACCCAAAGACTGGCCAGGTTACGGCAGGCTGAATAATACACGTTCAAACTGTACAGATATTATTTTATGTTAAAAGTGTGTAACGCAGGCTTTATATTGTGATGGTATCTTATAAAATATTGTAAATGAATAGAGAATTAATTATTGAAAGTAATAAGCACTATGTTGAATCGTTTTTACACTGTTCAATCAAAAGCATAGTACAGGTGTGTGGCCTTGTTTGTTGGGCGTTGTCTGCAGGTGAACTGAGAGTTCCTCTTGTCAGTCTCATGAATAAATGTTTGTTGTGCATATGTTATATGCGCTTATTTGTGTATGAAACTAAAAGAAAAGTTTATTGATTCAATCTTTCTTTTTATTTTTTGGCTACTTTAAAAAGAATTCTGCCAATATCATGTTAGTCACTCCCATTGACAACAAAATTATTATGTACATACATATATACATTGTTTACCAACTTTTTGATTGAGAATCCCAAATCTAGAACATAAGTTTTAGTATGTCACATCTGAATTGCAGAAACTTAAATTTGATACGCCTAAGAAGTTTGGTGATGCTTTTGTATTGTAACACACATTAATATTAATAACAACAATTTCCATGTTATTAATATAGGATCTAAGTATAAAATAAATTACCGTGATAAAGATTTGCATTTGATATTGTTTCACCTGTATCCCAATTTATTTTTTTCTATATAACTCTTATAAAGTCACTAACATTCGCATATATATAGTCTGTTAGCTAAGTTAGTGTCGGTACACCCGGAGACGCACTTATTATTTTGCTTTTATTTTATTACTTTTACAGTGTTTGTTATATAAATGTTATTCTATTCTAAGAATTAAATTAAAAAAACCTTTCACTACGGCGCGGCGCTTCTTTTTAAAATGTCGAATTCTCCTGCGGGTGTACGCCGCTCGCGGCGAGCTTTGAAGTCGCGGCGGCGCCGTTTACAAGATGCGGCACGTGCCAAGGCGGCGCGGCACAAAGGCGACCGTATCTAAGCGAACAGACTATACGAACCCACAAGTGTAAGACGACATTCGTAAAAGAATTACTTAAGTTTTGAGTGCACTCGTTATAATTCCAAGCTGTGTCGGTTTTTTGACGCACATCAATGCGTGCGAATCTTGGACCTTCGCGTATAGGCATAAGATTGCAAACATAACGCACGATTCGGTAGTCGCGTCTGTAAATATGTTTGATAAACAAGATTTATATTTAACACGAGGCGTTTTAAAAGAAGTGAGTTACTTAGGTACTAATTCTTTCCCTGTATAGTCCAGTAAAGAGAGATTTTAAATCGACATTAGTTGTGGAAGGTTGATTTTTCGAGCATATCTTTGTTTTTATATGTAAAACAAGGGCCAATAGTTAAAAATGAAAAATGCCTTGCGGGGGTAAAAAAAAATAAAAACCACCCACAACACCACTTTGTTGTAATTTTCTCAGAAATTATAAAAGATAGCAAAAAACATTTATATAAAATCGATAGAAAATAAAAAACTACACAAAGTTGTCTTGAATCATTTTCCTCGAATTTTTAATAGGAAAAGAAATATTTGCATTTGAAATTTGCAATTAAGCTTGCTACGAATTTAATCTTTTTTTAAATTTATTAAAAATAAACTAATTTACATTTTTTTTTAGTTGTTTCAATTCAGTGTAACCGACATTGCATTATAATTTTTAAAAACTTAACCATGTCAAATTTTAATTCTTTTTTATCATTTAAAAAGAAATCCATTTACATATCTCGTTTAAAGTTCTATATTATAGCTTATAGGAAATAGGTTCTTATAGGTTTGAGGGTGGTTCTTATTTTTTTTTTTACAACCCATGCAGGCTAATTTTAATTTTTTAACTATTGACCCTTGTTTTACATATAAAAACGAAGATATGCTCGTAAAACCTTCCACAACAAATGTCGATTTAATTTAAAATCCCTCTTTACTGGACTAGTATAAGAATAGAATAGAATAGAATAATTTTTTATTCAATATCGATTATTACATAATTCTTATTGAAAGTCATTTTTTATCTACCACTGGTTCGGAAAATACCTCTGTCCTGGGAAGAACTAGCAAGAAACCCAGCGGGACTTTTTTTTTTCAAACATAATTTCGTTTATACAATTTTTAAATAATTTTTTATAGAACCAGCATGGTGGCAATCACCTTATTCCCAGGGGTTATTTTCATTAATGTATTCCTTGAATAATGATAAGCCATCCAAATACGTTTATCTTCCCCGCGGCTAGTGACGGCGATCCCTTCTATGCGGCAAATAATATAACATGTTATTAAAATAGGTAAAACTCAACAGGACTAATTAAATCTAATCTAGATCATGCTAGAGGATTCGCGAATGGGTTATGCGAATAAAATATATTCTTTTGAAGATACTAAGTGGTCAGATCCTACCATTGAGCATATTATTATGTCCAAAAATGTCACATGAAGCCCTCCAAACTCCATAAATTATGTGAAGACACTATATTATATACTTTTGCTGCTATAGTCTCAATAATAGAAATGTACCATATAATTATGTAATTATACATTTTTAATTATCTATTTCATAAAAATATTTAATAGTGTAATTTCTATTAGCTACTGTCCTGAATCTTTACAATACTCCAGAGTACCTTTTAAAATCAATATTCGAATTTGTCACTAGATTTCTTACATTCACAATTTAGGAGCAAACTTTACATTTCTACATAATATGTATTTTAGCAAAATATCTTTATTTCCTTAACTGTGTTATTAATTTATAAATTTAATTTTTACTGCTTATTAATTTTATATTACTCATTTTTTTTTATTTTTACTTTTAAGAAATTTCTATAAATACTGTACCTACGAATACAAGATTTGTTTATAAAGCAAGGTATAAACAATGTTTAATAAAGTGTAATAAAGAGACTTTGCATTGTTATTAATTTTTAAAATGTTGTGTGCAAAGAATTTCCAGCTTGTCTTGTAACCTCATATTGTAAGTAAAAATGTTTTCTAATAATTATAACATTTACCAAAAAGTAAAAACCGACTTTAAAAAGCTAAAAAACGTTATTAACGGTATAGCTAAATTACAATCCTTGGTATTTATTAAATAAAATTTTCACCTAAAAATAACTTTTGTAAATATCAAACAATATTTGGAAAAAAGTTATATGATTCATTGATATTTACAAATGTTATAATATATTATTTAATGTTATACAAATTTAAAAGTAAAGTCGATCTGACAACGTCTAATTAGTAAGAATAGCAAAACAAGTCTATTCAAAAGGAAAAAAATAGCCAGATGCGCCGACGCTGTACGGCGGCGGATGAACAAGAGACTATCTATTAGCGAACTTTTTTATGCATGAACACGTTCGAACTGTTTCAAGCAAAAATAAACCACTTATATCATATCACAAGAGCACATGGTACTTCGTAGGTCCATTCGGCCATATCATAGTAATAAGACTGCAGTTCAATCATTTTAATCAAAATTAAACAATAAGATAAACGCATGGGTTTTTTTTTAACAGGAGACTTGTTTTCCAGAAACTTGTTAAACTATTATTTGTTACTTATTAGAGTATTTTTCCACAACATGATTTAAAAAACCCACACAGTAAAAAGAGTACCATCTACAAATTAAAAAAGGGTGTCAACCTCTAAAATTTTCAAAATATTCAGAAACGAAGCTGTAGACATGAACTACTTGCAAGATAATGAATATTTGGTTCTGGATAAATCTTCCAAAAACGCAATTTGAGCGAGTTATGACGATTTCAAAATGACACGACTCGTGTGTTATGCCACAGAAAAAATAATCGCCGCACTGAATCGGTTAAACTGCCTCCATCCTCCTCGATGCAGAAGAAAATCTTACTGTGGGGGTGAGGGTAACGATTTAAAAATTTATTCACAAGGACGCTGAATTATTTATTTGATATTCTTTATTGCACACCATACATAAATTACAGAAATTATATATATAAATGAAGTATGCAATGGGCGGTCTTATTACTGACAAAAATTTCTTCCAGACGATGGCATATCTTCCAGCGAGGAGGTCCCGAGCAGTCTGGTAGGCGTCGTCCGACAATTTTAAATGGCCGACGACGCCCAGGGCCTCCGCTCCAGTGAGGCTAGGAGTTACGCCATCTTCTGGCTTGGTGTCAAGTCTCTCCGGGCGTCCACCAGGCTATCAAAAAGCCCAACAAAAGTCATCCAGTCGGAGAGGACCCCAGAGAACCTTGGCAGGTTCAGAGTTGGAAGTCGTCCCAACAGCTCCGGCTGAGTAGGCTGCTTCCGAAGGGACTCGGGCAGGCCACTCATCCGAGCTTTACGCGCCTCGTCAGCATACCTGGCCCCAGCCTCGATCAACTCGTCCGTGAGCGAAAAGAACTGCTCGTAGTCCGCGAGGCAGGAGTCCAGGACTCCCTTTTCCACATCCGAATCCTCGAGCTCAGCGTAAGCCTCCTCCACTGCAGCCCTTCGAGCATCGACCTGCTCGAGCCGCTTCCTCAAGCTATAGACCCTATCCGGTCGACCTATCAAAGCATGGGCGCTAGCGGCCCAGCGCAGCTCCGCCCTCAGGCAACGAATCGGTAGCTTTTGCGATGGCATCACTAATAAATACAAATTAATACGCGGCTCAAATATAAATCAAATTAACAAATACATGTACGATCAAATCAAGTTAAATACAAATTACACAAATACAATTACTATTTATTAAATTAAATACAAATTACACTACAATTAAAGGTACACACTACAGTCAATCAGCAAAATGCCTCGCTCAAACAACCGACCCTTCGACAATTAATCTACTATAATTATACGCCAACGATAATTATCCGATTACGTGATAACCTTATCTACCTAGTCAAAATACCTGACGGGCGTACGGGCGTGGTTCCTCCTTCAACCCGCCAACAACAAAAAATATTTATATGTAATTTTTATTACGTACTATTTTTATCTATATTACGGCCGGGCGATTGGAGACCCAATCAACCACGCTCTTGC